TTTACTTAAGGTTTTTATTTTTTTAAAACCTTACTGTAATCATTATCATGGCAAATGGCTGTAGTGATCATCTGTAACTTAGTATTTAATGATAAGGAGATGGTTAGAGCTAGTGGATGACTGGAATTGCCATGCCTCAGGTTTTCTCAGGATCCATTGCCTTTCCCTGTTTAAGCAGCAAAAACAACCTGTATTTTTAATGAGATTATTAAAAAGGTGAGTGCACAGTGAAACTTATCTGGTAGTTGGTGTCCCACATTAGGCTGGGAGCAACTTGAGAATAGATAGGAGCAGAGTACCTCCTGAGCTGAATCCATGAGCTGGTATGTCTCCTGCTGTTGACAGCTTCTGTTCCTCTCTGTAGGATGCTTGGAGTTGCCTGTGTGTGCTCTCCTGGAAGAAGAGACCTTTAACACCTCTGCAGAACAGGCAGCTGCAGGATTTTTCTTTAGTCTGCCTTCTTCACCAGTTAGTACTAAAAGGCTTGTGTAACTTCAAGTGTCTTACCGGTAGACATGCTCAACATAGGCCACTTGTTGTCTTCCTGGGCATTCAGCTGTATGGGCATCCTGGAGACACAGAAGGCAGGTACTCCTGGAAAATGAGGCAAGGGAATGTATTCCCCCAGCTGTATACATGGAGTTGCAGGTGGATGGCAGTGCCCCGTATCATTGCAGCCTGTCGTGCCTTCCAGGAGAGTGAGAGGTCACATCTGATGCTATTGAGGGTTCCAGAGACTCAGTGTGACCCATCTGAAGACTTCCACCAGCTGTAAATCCGTGAGATATGGACACTGCATAATCAGAACATGTTTACATAAGTCAGCCTGCACATCTGCTTATTGTCACGGAGCCTTGGCTGACACAGGATGCCCCAGTGCCATTTCCCAGCTCAGAAGGATCCAGGAGGGGTTTCTGCTTCCCCTTGGCAGTGTAACTCCAGCGGCGCTGGACGTGCTTGCTGTGTGGGTAATCCTGATGGTCAGCCTTAACTCTGTTAAAAAAAAGTGTGGAGACTGACAATTTCACCTAATTCTCTGACTGATTATTTGCAAACAAACCAGAAGATGTTTCTGCTTCTCTGGCTGTAATTGAATGTTGCGCAACTAGTTGCCCAATGGTGCATGTGTTTGAAATGAACTCCTTTCAACGGGAAAGTCTGTGTTCTAGGATGAGCCCCAATGACTGTATGTCATCAGGCAAGTAGAGGAAATAGTGACTGTTCTTCTCCCTTCCTCCAGGATTAACTGGCTGGAGGGCATTCTGTTCTCTTTTGTCGGGATGTGGAATGGGGAGGATTGTAACATCTTAGATTCTTGTCAGGGGGTTGAGTAAACTCTGTGTGAGGAAGAGGCACTGACCAGACAACTTAATGAAATAAGAACTTGTAGAAGAAAATGTCAGAAGCAGAGTGCTGAGATCTGCATGTTTCTTCTTAGAAAGAATATTTTTCTAACAAGATCAAAGTCTGGATCTCATCTCATAGCTTCATAGGAACAGACATTAGCTTTGGACATTATTAGCCTTATGGCCTCTTGCTGCACCCCTAAACCCAGCTGTGTGTCTGATTTGGTCTGGACGTATTGTTTCCTCTGCATTTAGGTATTAAGATCTGTGTGCACACAGATGTATGAATCCCTTTAGGATAAGGTGAGGTATATAAGCACCTACTGGTATTAAACAACCTGTGGAATTTTAAACCTATATAAAAAGGTAGCATTTGTTCTGGGAAAATTTAGGAATGAAATTGAAGTTAGAAATAGTGATAAATTTATATTTTGGTTTGGAGCATCATAGATACATCTTAAATGGAGTATTGGTGAACTTTCTTTTTTTCCTTAGTAGCTTATAAAAAGATATGTGACACATCATCTCTTGCTTGTTATGCCATTTTGAATTTGCCTGTTCTGAAAATATGTTAATTATGATAACGGATTTAGGATTTGATCTTAAGAGTTGCTAGTATCTCAATTTCATTATCTTCAGTGTGAGAGCTCTTCTTGTATCACAGATTTAGATCCTCTAATTGCATATTGACATATGGAAAGTAGATTTGTGAGTACTTTTTGCCATCCTCAGATGATAGGAATGAGAAACTCTGCCTTCTGCCCATATAGACATAACTTAAAATATTTACTGAGCAATTAAACCTAAAAGGCTAACGTGATGGAACTGGCCACTTTGTAGTGCATGACAAATCAGCAGCATGACATGTCAGGAAGCAGAGGACCATGGCTTTCTGTGGAAGATCTGTCTAGGACCCAGGTGCTAGGATCTCTAGGATCCAGGGTGTATGTGGCCACTGTTTTTTTCTAGGTATTTGGTGCCTGATACATTTGAAACCCCTCTACTTACCCTTCCTGGGAAGTGTGAAGCTTTTTTTGTTTCCTCCCTTCTATAATCCCTCCCCTCCACCTCAGCCCCACAGTCTCTTGGCAGCAGTCTGGGAACGTTCTGCTCTCCTGTCTTCAAACTGTGCATCTGCAGGTTGGCAAACCTTTAGGGAAGGGTTCCCCAGCACCCTCCCCATGGCGAGGGCTCGAGCTGCTGCTGCCAGGCAGTGCCCGGCTTTGCTGAGCAGGAGCAGTGGCACAAACCAGGTGATTCTCCCCAGCATCCCAGCTGTCCCCACCACGCTGCAGAGGAGCTGTGGAACTCACTGCTCCTGTTGTTGCCCTCGCTCTGCCTGCAGAAACCTCCTCCTGGAAGTTGTGATGCTGGAGCTGCCTTAAAGGCTCCAGAAACTTCTGCTTTACCCTTGTATTCCTTTTTCAAGTAATACCACTTTAAAAGTTAGGGTGGCCTTTTTTTTTTTTTTTTTAATTACTGTTTTGTATTTCTCTTTTGTAAACCTTAACATTATTCCATATTTGCTACAGCTCCACTTTAAGGAGCTTTGTTTATTTAGTCATAATTATCCTCGAGTCTTCTAATGAGCAGTGATAGTCTGTCCTAACAGGATGTATTAATAATTATTAATTCCACTGTGGATAATCTTGTGTTTGTAACTAGTGTAATTTATATACCATCATGCTGCCTCTTTAAATCTCTTAAGTCTGCTCACAAGTCTCTCTAGTCTCAACTACCATAAACAGCTTTGCTTTCTCTTCTCACAAGCTCTGCCTGCGAGGCCAGATCAGGTTTCCCTGGTAGTCTAGTGGTTATATTCACTGACTTACAAATAATAATTCATTTGTTGCTCTGTCACATTGAAAACTATTAGTTTTCCTCTGTTCTTATGCCACATTTATCTGTGTATTCTCTACATCTTTTAATCTTTTTCTTAAGTCTTCTGGCATGTGTCAGATGTACCATCAGCTGGGGGGTTGTGCTGGCTCACACTGATCCTGTGTTCAGGCAGGGTCAGTGAGGGCTGTGTGATCCAGGCCATGAGCAGGAGGATCAGTGTGTCCTAACAGTACTATGGTAGGGTCTGGAGTACCATGAGTGGGGCCTATTTTACCTGCCCACCAACTTGCATGTCTCCAAAGGTCTGTGTGCCTCAGGGAAAGTGCAAGCCTACCTGTGGAGAATAAGTAGAAGCATCTGGCTTCCTTCTGGGCTCGTAACACACTTCCTTAGCGTCTGACACTGTGGTGTCAGCAGTACTGGGATAGTGGAGCAGCAGAGATATGTAGGCATTTTATGTACCCACTTGTATTGTCTTTTAGTTTTTTCCTCTGGTCTTGCTTTACGGTGAAGGCAAAAAGACCCATCCCAGAGAATGTTAAACCAAATCTAAGGGCCTTTGGTAGATTCTTGGAGCCTTCTTTTCTGACCTGGAACTTTAGTTTTCTACTTTTGCTTTTTTCTGCTGCAGCTCTTGCCTCAGCTGGCTGAAAAGCACAGACACTCCTTACCTCCCTCGCCTCCTCACAATGCAGTGAATATTATACAGGAGTTTAGGCTTAGGGTTTTCTCTTCCTCCTACCATTCTTCATTCACTCACCCAACACGGAGTGCCCCAAACCCAAGTGTGCCACCTTGGAGATGCACTGACATCTGTTTATGGGATCCAGGCAGAACCAAGCCTCTATCCAAGTGCCTGATTCCCTGAGGCATCTTTTTGGGGTCTTAGGGGCATAGATATGAAGAAAACAGGATTGCTCATTTAAGCATAAAAAAAATGTGTTAAATGGCCTTCCTTTAATGCAAACTGCATTAGTTGCAGAAGCTCACATTTTAAGTTTGTGGATATGTTTATTGTAGAAATATTTTTCAGTAGCTCCCATCTGATGTGACACAAGGAGAGCTGTCAGAGCTGTCACTTCAATGCTGTTGCTATGTCGTGCATGTTAAAACATCATTGCAAATGTTGCAGGTCACAGTTCTGTAAATACAAATTTCCTCATGTAAAACTTTTTGTTATTGTTTTAAATATTAAAGTAAAGGAGGATATTTGGATTTGTGTATGTCATATGCCCTGGTATGTGTGATTGTAGTTATTGCTGTTATTTGCTCAGCAGTCATTTTTCCCCCCCCATTTCACTGAAGCTTTTGGTGGATGGCATTTGCATGTTGTGTGACAAGGTGTGTGAGGTTACAGAAAGGTCCACCTGCAGCAGTGCTCCGTGCTCAGGAAGGCAGAGCTTTGCCTTCTCTGTGATGGCAGTGCTGAGTTCTCCCAATGGGTGTGAGGTGTTAGCTAGGTTCTTCCATTCTTTTTTTTTTTTCTTTCCCATTTTCCAATGCCTTTTAGCAAGGCTGTGTCTAGAGATACAGAATTTTTGAACAAAAAGGTTATATTAATCATTTGAATATTACACATGGCTTTTTTGTTTTGTTAAACATGCCCTTTCGTGAACAAAAATAGTTCATTTAATGTAATTTTAAATTACCTGGGAAAAGTATTCCTGAATGCTGAATTCTGATACATGGCAGCACGTGGGAGCTTTTATTGTCTTGTTATAAAGGGTTAAATTGCCATCAAGGTTGCTCTTTGATGGTGTATCCTCTGCTGCATTCCCCCCCCCAAAAAAGTAATTCTTTTCCTTTTCACAGCGAACAACTCTGCGCCTTTTGTTACTGTGGAGAACGGAGCTCGTTAGGGCAAGGAGACTTAAAACAATTCAGTCCAACTCCTGGGTATGTTATCCCATGGAAGAACCAGCCTTTAAACAAGAGTGAAGCCAGCGACAGCACCGATGGAGCTTGTGAGAGAACTCCAAGGCAAAACTCAGCGCCACGCAAACAGAGAGGGCAGAAGAAGTAAGTCTGTCCTGCAGCAAATATGTATTCTTGGTTGGTTTGCATAAAGTTTGGGAAGCATCTTTACAATACTGTGCTGCAACAGACAGGTCACTTGGATTTGTGAAAATGCAGGCCATTAATGTTAGTCATTTAAAAAGAAAAACAAACAAACAAAAAAAACAAACAACAAAACACAAGCCCAGCACACAAGCAGTAAAGGAGTAGCTGTCTCTTCTGCTTTTTAAAGTTTTGTTGGTTTCTCCCTTCCAGTGAGAATCTTGACTCTGGAAGAATATAGAAAAGACAGTTACTGTAAAGCACAGATCTACTCCTGAGGTTGAAGTGTAAGTACACGCAGGAGTAGAAGATCATAGAATCATGGAATGCTTTGGGTTGGAAGAGACCTCAAAAGGTCATCTAGTCCAGCCCCCCTGCAGTGAGCAGGGACATCCCCAACTAGATCAGGTTGCTCAGAGCCCCATCAAGCCTGACCTTGAATGTACCCAGGGTTGGGGCCTCCACCACCTCTCTGGGCAGCCTGTTCCAGTGTTTCACCACCCTCATAGTGAAGAACTGCCTCCTAATGTCTGATCTAAGTCTGCCCTGCTCAAGTTTAAAGCCATTGCCCCATATCCTGTCAGGATAGTGGACTTCTGACGCCTCGTGCGTTTTGTAGACTGGCAGAACTAGAAGCCTCTGCCCCATCTTGTTGAAGTGTTTTTCACTTGACCTCCAGAGCTGGCTCCTGCCATGGTGACAGTATTACTGCAGGCTCCTGGCACGTGGTTCTTACCCTTCAGAAGCAGGGTGTGCTGGCAGGTTTCCCAACAGGGTGGTTTTCACCCTCAAAGGGCAGCGTCCCGAGTCCTCCCCGGTTAGTTCCTCTTGCTGGCGGTTCTGAGGGACGGCAGGGCCGTACACTGCTCGGCAGGGAAGGCTTGGCTGGTGGTCTGGTGGGGGCACCTGAGATGTGGCTGGTGGGAGGAGTGTGTTCTTCAGTCTGCCCACACAGGAGTTTTCCCACGCTGGGCTGCTGTTCTTCACGTCTCACCACCACACCCCCAGAGCCCCTCCATTTACACGTGTCGGTCACGCTGCAGTTTGTGAAACTGCCCGTTGTGTAACGCCGATAGGGGCGAGCAGCTTTCCTTAAAGCTGATAAAGCTAACCCCCTCCCCTCAGACAGCTACTCACAGGCAGCTGAAGTACGCCTTTCAAAAAGGCTAAGTACAAAAGATCAGGCTGTGGTGACAAGTGTTTCTGTTCAGAATTAAATTGGGATATTCTTTAAATGGATTGGTTGGATCTTGTGGGAAGGCTTTCATATTAACAGAAGTGCCTTGTCAGTTGGGGTTCGGTTTTTTTCTTAACAGTCCTTTAAATTTCTGTGTTTTGAGCATCAGTTGTACAGGAGTGTGTCCAAAGAAGTCAATGAAGCTGGTAAAGGGTATAGAGAACGAGTCTTCTGAGGGACCTGAGGCTGTTTAGTCTGGAGAAAGGGAGGCTCAGGGGAGACCTGCTCACTTTCCACAGCTCCCTGAAAGGAGACTGTAGAGAGGTGGGGGTTGGTCTCATCTCCCAGGTAAGAAGTGATAGGACAAGAAGAAATGTCCTCAGGTTGTGCCATGGGAGGTTTAGATTGGACATTAGGAAAAATTTCTTGACCAAAAGGGTTCTAAAGCACTGGAACAAGCTGCCCAGGGAGGTAGTGGAGTCTCCATCGCTGGAGGTTTTTAAAAGCTGTGTAGGTGTGGTGCTAAGGGATGTAGTTTAGTGGTGGACTTGGCAGTGCTGGGTTAATGATTTGACCTAATGAGCTTAAAGGTCTCTTCCAACCAAAATAGTTCTGTGATTCTATGTTAGGGGTGGTTCCACTAGACATAGGTGGTGTTCAGGAACCAGCTTTGTTGAAGAATGGGTTAATGCAATGATTTATTAAAGGATTCTTAATGTTGATAGTATCAGGTTTTGGATTTTTTTGATTTTCTGCTTCTGTCATGATATGGATCGTGAAGATACCATGCAGTAATTGAAAACTTTCCAGATTTCTTTGGTGACGTGAGATGGCTGTTACTCTTCTCCCCATAAACTAAGCTTTTTCATGTATTTCTGTATGTGGTTGGTGAAGTAAAACGTGCATGGTTTTCAGGAAGGCAAAGTTATCCCAGGTTAAAATTCCAGTGCTTACTGTATCTCTTGGCTTATTGATGGTAGGTCATTTTTCAGCATCTTTTTTTAGAGGTTGTAAGCAGAATAGCAGTTGGGAAAGAGGTGGTTTTGTGCTAGCTCAACTCTAGAAACTCATCAGTAACAGCAAACGCATGCATTTGAGTTATTAATTGGGGTGAATAATGAAAGTCAAAGAACCTTAATAGAAATCACAACACCACCTTTCCTACCAACAGGTATTGAAGCATGAGAGACCAGGTCTCCTTCATCCAAGCCTAATGCACATCCTTAGATGTCCAAGATAGGTTTTTGTCTGCAGGAAATAAAGGAGGGAGGAGTCATCACTTTTTTTTTTTTTTAATGGAGTAATCTGAGTTTTGTTAATTGTTTTCTGTTGAGATTAGAATTTGGGGAACAAATTAATAAGATAATAAAGTAGATCCTCCCATGTTAGCACATTGTACACTCTTTATAAGTCATGGCATTTTTCAGTTCCCCCACGCTCCTTTCCTCCTGCCCACTCCTCCTGGCCTTTTTATTAACATCTTGATGGCATTAGATAAAGATACTTGTTTCCAAATAGCTTTTTCACTCCCAGTCTTTTCTCTTACTTTCCCCCCAAGTTGCTGTATTTTATCTAAGCACCTTACCCCTGGCCGTGTCAGTCTCCTTGGAGGATAGTGGCACTGCTGTGCCCGCACCAGCTGTGGAGACTGCAGGGAGAGGGCTGTTTGAAAGCTGCAGGTGGTCCTCACCACCCACACCACTCTTCTTCCTTCTGCATCTCTTCTTCCCCAGAGTAACCCAGACTGCTTACTGTTACCCGAGTCTCCAGTCCTAGGGTTGGGAAAGTTTTAATATTGAACAGAAGTGAAGTTTAAAAAAAAGAAGCATGTGTGTCCTGAAGAACTGGAAGAGAGCAGCCTGGGGAAAGGGGCATTTTACCAAGCCCTTCTATTTTTCTACTGCATGCCAGCTTTAACTAAAAATTTTGTTATGGGGGAAACAAATGTTGGACTAAAGTATGGGGAAAAAAGACTTATGTTCATGTCGATTTATTTCATCATGTTTGGAAAAATTTTATTCACTTTCCCTGAGTTTTGCATTGTTTACAAGTATCTAGGTAATAGAACAAAGGATGTGCTCACTTCTAAGGTTGCTTTTCTGCTCCCTGATACAGATCTCGATCGAGTGTAGCATCATGTACAAGTGTAAGCACCCAAACTGCTTCTGATGATCAGGCTGTCAAATTCTGGGATGAACTCAGTTTAGTTGGCTTACCAGATGACATTGATGTTCAAGCCTTATTTGAGCCAACAGGTAAGATATGTTGCTCTCCTTTTGTCCCCTCCAGTAGTAGTGCAGTAGCTACAGTGACAGTGAGTGAAGGTTTTCAGCTGCTGGTTTTCTGCCCGGTGGTGTCTGTCAGGAGTTTGAAGATGCCTTCATAGCTTTTGCCAGTCTTATCTGTTTTTTTGTATAGTCTTCTCTTCAAGTACTGGGTGGGAAAATATTAGTAATCTTCTGCTGAACTGGTGTTCATGTAGTAATACCTTCAGAATCATGATTCAATTTTGAGGAGAAAAGGAAAAAGAAATGAGACACAGCTTAATATAATTTTTCAAGTCCTGATCTTGCAGCCTTAGCTGATCTCCTCCTGCTAATGCAGGGTTATCAGAAACAATGGAATGGAAGGCTTAAAAGAGCAATATTACTGGAACAATAGAGGCAAAATAAACTTTCATGTTTCCATTATCTGCAGGTTTTCTGTTGGAAAACTGTCTGGATTGTCATCTGCTCTTTCATTTTAATGGAACTTTTATTTTCATTCAGTTATAAATTATTTTTTCAGAAAACATCTATGTCCAAATGTTTTGATGCCAGTAGTCCACTCACATATTTTGCATCAAAAATGGAAGTATGTTATTGCAATAATAGAAACATCATTCTTTCATGAGTGTGAAAACAAAATTTCAAAGTCTAATTAAACCCAAAAAATAGCATTTAGTACTTTGTTTTAGTTATAATGTGTGTTGATAGGTGGAGAGGTTTATTGATCTATATTATTTTAAGTAGCTGTTATTTGTAGATGACTCTTCCCAAGCCCTTACAGAGATTTTTGGAGATCTGTGTGTTGCTGAATGATTATGTTGACCCAGTACCTCGTTTGAACACCTAATGTAAAACATCATTTCTAATCTAGTACAAAGCTGACACAGAATTCCTTTGGAAGCATGCAGCATTTACGTGTTTTTTCCCAGGATTGAATTAGAAACTTATTTTCACATAATCACAGACCGTAGGGGTTGGAAGGGGCCTCTGGAGGTCATCCTGTCCAACCCCACTGCTAGAGCAGCTTAACCAGGAACATGTCCAGGCAGGTTTTGAAAGTCTCCAGAGAAGAGATTCCACAGCCTCTCTGGGCAGCCTGTTCCAGGGCTCTGTCACCCTCACAAGCAATAAAATTCTCCTTATGCTTAGGTGGAACTTTGTGCTCCAGTTTGTGTCTGTTGCCCCTTGTCCGGTAGCTGGGCACCACTGAAAAAAATCTATCCCCATCCTCTTGACTCTAACCCTTCAGATATTGATAAACACTGATAAGATCCCCTCTTAGTCTTCTCCTGACTAAACAGCCCCAGGCCTCTCAACCTTTCCTCAGAAGTGAGATGTCCCAGAGATATATTTTGAATTCTACAAATTCTGATTTTTATTTTGTTATGAAGATAAATGTATCTTATAATAGCTCTATAATGTTGTATCAACACAATTCCCTCAGTCATTTATATGATGTTTCTGTTCTTGCTGTATTTTGAACTTTTAAAAGTTTTGTGTACCATTCTAAAGCATCATGTGAGTATTCTGTGTGAACATATAGATCTGCATCTGGTCCTTGGGGATCGTCAGTGAAGAGTACAGGCATAAACAGATGGTACCTAGAGTGAAATATAAGATCAAATGTAAGCCCCTGTGTGTGTCTCACAACCATTGCATATAGAATCATAAAGCCATAGAATCATATACACCCCACTGTTACATTATGTGGTCAGGCATCTGAAAATAAACATGGATATACAGAATGTGCTGAGGGGAAGGAGGTGTGTTATATATAAAAGAAAATTGCAGTATATTTGGTGTCTGATGGTCAGTACAATATATTCAGTGTATGATAATAAGGACATTAATTGTTGCAACAAGACAAAAAGAAGGAAGAGAGACTGACTATTTTATCTGGCAAGTATTTACTACTAGACCAGGGTTTGATGCTTACAGGAAGTGCTTGACAGTTGTACAGCCAAAGCTTTTTTCTTTCCTAATGCCTCAGGTCATTGCTGGGCTCATCACCGCTGTGCGGAGTGGTCATTGGGAGTCTGCCAGACTGAAGAGCAGCTATCAGTGAACGTGGACAAAGCTGTTGTCTCAGGGAGCACAGAAGTGAGTAAAAAGTCTTCAATACTCAAACCAGTAAAAAAATAGGGGGTAGGGTTGAAAAAAACGATAGTAGACTAATGCAATACAACGTATGAATAACAATATCCACATACAGATCTCTGAGCTCACATTTATAATGTTTCTTTGGACAGGTCTTCATGATAAAAGCTGCTGTTAGAATTTATTAAAAAGGCTTATGGAGTTGCATGGAATATATAATTAATTAGTTCTGAGGCACGTAGAATGTAGGAAGTACTTACCTAACCAAAACAAAATACAGACAAAAGAAAAATTGAGTTCAAATTAGCAAGTGCCCCACTAGGTAGAGGAATTACTTATTTTGCCAGTGTACATTCTGAAATTACATGACTTAGACATAGTAAAAAATTCTCAGTTACTTTTGTACCAGTTCAAAAAGCAGACTAGGATAGGAAGGCTAGTGTTTACCACAAATCCTGTGTTCTTACTTTAAATACTGATAGAATTACATATATAAATATTTGTTTTTTAATTTGAAATGGTAATGTATTTGGAAAAGTAGGTACCTTTGAAAAGGAAGAACTCCTGGTGCCATGTTCTGATAATATTTTGAAATTATGAAGAGACCTGTTGTACATTGTTTTTACCATACGTAGCTGTATTTTTCAGTTGTATCTCTCATAGCTGGTAAATAATTTCAATAATTTTAGTTTTTTTTCTAGATTAATTAGCCATCCTGTCAACAGGCCTGTGTAGTTTTTTCTGTATTTTCCATGATCATACTTAGGCTTCCTTTTACTTGATTCTTCATGTTTTTCATGCATTATATTGAAATAAAATTATGCAGATACCAGTAACTTACCCATTGTGTGGTCTAAAAAAGCTGCTTTGAACCAGTTGCAACACAGGCAATGCAGTACAGCTTTCCTTACACCTTCTACTTTTACTCATTCTGATTAAATGCTTTGCTTTGATAACTGAAATTATTTCTGTGTATCTACTTTCGAAATAGAAGACTACTAAGAATGAATGAACCTGACAATATTAGACTCAGATTTGTGTATGTGCATGTCTTTGTATAAAAAAAACTACAAAAAAAAATTGAAAGAACATCTAGAATCATTTAATTTTAAAATTTTTTTTTTAACTCACTGCTGAAAAGTTTTCACCCCCTTGTTTTTGGCTGGTGAAGGTGGCCTGTAGTAATTTTGTGATCAGCTCATTCCCATCTGTAGTCGTTTTCATGATACTGTTCTGGTTTCTAACAGAAACCCTTGCTGCAGTATTCGAGCTTGTTTTGCTCTGTTGAATTTAATTCTGTTTCTGTTATTTCAGTTTTGTTTCTGTGTGTTACCTTACTCCTCCTCCGTGCCTCTGTGTGATGGTGCCTCACCTTCACGTCCTCAGTACATTTTAAATTTTGAGTAGATATTTATAATGCAAATATTTAAGAATTACTGAAGAATGCCACATCTCTCTGGTGGGACAGTTTCCTTCTGCCCTGCCTTTTTGTGTGCTGCTTTGTAGTTTCTCTACCAATCTTTTCAAGTCCTGCAAATAATTTTTAGATCTCCCTGTTGCACATTTCTGTGCAATGCAGAGAGATGAGAGAAATTTGAATCGTGTCATTCTGCATGTTTTCTATTCAGTCTTTGCTGAAACTGTTGAGAAACTTTTCTTGCTGTAATACAGCAGCCAGCCAGCAAAGAATGACGTTGGTGTGGCTCTTCCCTTTTATCCTTCTTATGACGACCCCAGGGAGAGCAGAGTAAAACCACAATTGTGATTGATTCTAGAGGAATAGCTATACAAAATGGGGCATCTTTACCCCACGATCACATTTTTTGTGTTTAGAGGTTTTTCAAGAAATAAGGAGCAAACTCTTCTGTAGTGTTCTGTTCCTGACCATGGAGCAGCAATGTGGGGTCTGCTCAAGGAGTTTGTGTATAACTGGTGTGGAGCCCAAGTAATCCTGCGTTTGCTTGTGTCCAGGCTGTAGTGCTTGGTAGTAATTTTTCCACAGCTTTTAAACTTGTTGCTGAGCTAAAGAAGGCACAAAAAAAAGCGTAAGGTGACAGTGGAAAAGCTTAAGGGAGGAAATTGTGTGAGATACTTCAAAAAGTTTTGAATGAAACGTATAGCAATTTAATGTAGGCTTTTGTGTTTACAGCTGCTTGTGCTTTGCTTTTGCTAAAATTCTGGGCTTCTTTGTAACGTGATGTTACTACATTTTAAAAGCAAAGTTTCTATTTAAATGTTCTGAATGCTGTTGAAAATTCAGACACAAGTATGTGCTCGGGGCATACAGAAAAATGGTTTAAACAAAACCAAGCTGCAGCTATTTCCTCTACTTGCCACCAAATTCGCTTTGGGTTTTGTTGTTGTTGTTGTTTGCTTGGTTGGGGATTTCTGTCTTCTTGGAAGTCCCTCTGGCATGACATGGGTTTATGATGTGGTCTGCAGCATTGACATCTCTCCTTAGTTAGGAAAATACGTCTTCTTTTCCTTATGTTCATGTATGGATAAGTACTGAACAGGTAACAAACTTTTTCTTGATAGTACAGTCTGCTGGTTTAGGTCCTCTAATTTGTGGAGAGTGTTTTGGGGCTGTTCTTACCTTGAGCATTTCTTTTATTTGTCAGTTACATTCATGTTTCTTATTAGTTAGGCTGCCTATTGTTTCCAAATCTGTTTTAACTGGATATGACAGTGTTTCTTATTACTCTGTTTACCAGTTGAGATGTCCATTTGGCTTCACTGAACATATGATTGCATTAATAAAGCTTGTGTAGACATATTTCATTGACCTATTCCAAAGTATGCATGTTAATTGATTTTGCTTTTCTTCTTGGCCTGGGTTTGCTGAAGATCTCAAATACAGTACTGTGGCTATCTCAGTGTCTGTGCATGTCTCACAAAACACCCTGCTTAGCATGTCTGTCTTCTTCAGTTCTTTTTTCTGATGCACTCATTTTGAAGGCCTGGCAAAGACATCTGACCAGTTTGCTGCACGCATTCATGTCTAGACATAGCTGGGTTCTTTGACTTTCTTTCAAAGTCTTGGATTTGCCTCTCTTTAATATTAATGAGTGCACATACATACATAGATCTATATATGTGAAGTGTTTGAAATCTTGTGCATTAATTTCTTTCATAGCAAGTGACAAATAAAAGCTGGAATATACAGTAAAGTTTATAGCAGTAGATGTGCTCTAGCTGTTATGGGTGGTATAAGTGAGTCATTTAATCTCCTTGCTTGTCTTGTTTACCTCACTTATGTCAGCAAGTGAGAGTCAGGGGTTTTCTCAGAAGCACTTTCTAAGTTTAAAAAGTCATAATGAAGAGCTGTGATCCAGGTGACAAGCACAGTGCCACAGCATTCCTCAAGATGACTCTTAAGAATTCACATAGTTATCTCTGGAGCTTGTGTAGTACGTAGGTTAAAGAGTCTGAACACCCAGACAAGGCAGTTCCTCCCCCCACTACCTTAATAGGTCTTCATGAGATTTTGGAGCAATTTTATTTGAAGATTTGAAAGAAAAGAACTCTCTGGAATCTAGACAAGGGGAGAGAAAATTTCCAGAGATTTCCTTTAGTCAAAACTTAACTAAATTTTCTTTTAATTCGGAAATGCTCTACTCAGTACATGAAAATCACCATACTGAAGAAGCTGTTGTGTTGCCAGCTTTATGGATAGGCATCTATTAGGAAGGTGTTGCTACAGATACTTGTAGTAAGATGCAAATATAGTATGGAACGGAGACTTAGGAGGATAAACAAAGGGAAGGAGACTGATTGAACAGAAATCAGAGGTTTTGCTTTAAAAAGCAATAGGTGTGGACAGGCAGAGTTTCCTGCTTTTTCTTGTGTTCCTGGCTGCAGTCTTATGCTTTCTTAACTGTGGTGCTTTTTGATATTTGGAAGTGTGAACTTACTGACATTACTATTTAAAATTGAGGCCTTTAGGATTTGCATCTGCTCAGCTTTTCACAAGAGTGGTTTCTGAAATACTTTCAGGTATTTTAAAATACTTTATAATTTCCTTGTTTATTTTATATGTATTGAGTAGGTGGCTGTTTTTCTATAGTCAACTGATGAAATAATAGTCTGCTGCTTATCTGTGTTACATTGTCTAGCCATAGCTCTCCTGCATTCTGCCAAGTCCCTTTTTTTCCACCCAATATGTAAGCAGCTCAGTTCAGGAAGTGAATTTGAGGAAGACTCAGTAGATAACGTGTTTGAACCACTTCTGAAAAAAACTGTGCACAAGAAAGGGGTGTGGAGGTAACTTTCCCAATCAACTTTTTTCTTCTGATAATATGTAGAAAGCAGTTTACAAGTCTGTGACCCAGTTTGTCAAGGACATTAAGGTCAAGAAAACAGTATTGGTGGAAACCAAGAAGAAGGTTCTTAGCTACTTGACTGAATAGGGGAAACATGATAGTAATGAAGTGTCTAAAGCAGTCATTCCAAAATACTGTATTACTCATGTTTTATAAAATGTGGATTTCTGTTTGTTTGGATATTCTGTATAGCTCTTCTTTATCTACTTCACAGCTTTCATTTTTCCAGTAATAGTCAAGTGTTTCTTCAGAACCAAGACTCTTGCAGCCAGACAGCTGAAAAATGGTATTCTTCTTCCCGCATTTTTTATTTTTTTACCTTAATCAGGGCAGTATCTTCTCTGTTCAAGGCAGCTGTTTTCAGCTCTTGCTGAGTTTCTGCAGGCAGTGTTTGGCATGTCAATATTGCTGAGAACTGAAGGAGGAGTTGTGTTGTATAGAGGCAAGCTAATCAATAGTATCTTGCCTTGTTCCAGGCTCCAAACGATCTCCTGTTTTGCCACTCTCTCCTGTAAACCCTTTTCACCTTGTAGCAGTCTTGAACCCTTTTTTTGAAGGCAGCTTCCCTTGAATTCTGTCACCAGAGGCAGGAGATTTTGCTGTTTTTAGATGCTTCCAAGTTGAGACAGTGTTACAAGGCTTGCATATTAAATACTTCACTCAAACTGCTTCTTAGAGCCC